GCCTCGTGTTCGGGCTATGCTGAGTGCTACGAGGCTACCAAAACCCTGTGGGGTGAGGCACTACTGCATATAGCTGCCACACTGAACAGACTACAGACGAAGCCACTGGGGCTGGTCATATCATGTTTCTTCTCATCCTTGACGAGTCAACTAGATACAAGTGGGCGTATTTACTTGAAAAGAAGAGTGAAGCGACATGGCATATCAAGGTGCTGTTGACTCAACTGAAGACGTAGCTACCTAAACTTGCGGCTCAACGATTACGATCGGACCAAGGCGGCGAGTTTGCGAGTACTGAGCTGGCCAATTACTGTGCAGAGAATGGTATCGAACAGCAATTCACGAGCGCCTATTCACCACAAGAGAACGGAATTGTGGAGAGAGCAAATGGAGTCGTGATGCCTCGTGTTCGGGCTATGCTGAGTGCTACGAGGCTACCAAAACCCTGTGGGGTGAGGCACTACTGCATATAGCTGCCACACTGAATAGACTACAGACGAAGCCACTGGGGCTGGTCATATCATGTTTCTTCTCATCATTGACGAGTCAACTAGATACAAGTGGGCGTATTTACTTGAAAAGAAGAGTGAAGCGACATGGCATATCAAGGTGCTGTTGACTCAACTGAAGACGTAGCTACCTAAACTTGCGGCTCAACGATTACGATCGGACCAAGGCGGCGAGTTTGCGAGTACTGAGCTGGCCAATTACTGTGCAGAGAATGGTATCGAACAGCAATTCACGAACGCCAATTCACCACAAGAGAACGGAATTGTGGAGAGAGCAAATGGAGTCGTGATGCCTCGTGTTCGCGCTATGCTGAGTGCTACGAGGCTACCAAAACCCTGTGGGGTGAGGCACTACTGCATATAGCTGCCACACTGAATAGACTACAGACGAAGCCACTGGGGCTGGTCATATCATGTTTCTTCTCATCATTGACGAGTCAACTAGATACAAGTGGGCGTATTTACTTGAAAAGAAGAGTGAAGCGACATGGCATATCAAGGTGCTGCTGACTCAACTGAAGACGTAGCTACCTAAACTTGCGGCTCAACGATTACGATCGGACCAAGGCGGCGAGTTTGCGAGTACTGAGCTGGCCAATTACTGTGCAGAAAATGGTATCGAACAGCAACTCACGAACGAAGAAGGACCCACAGGAAGGGTGTGGGTCAGGAGGAGGAGGATCGCTGATATGAGTTGGTCACATCGGAAAGAAAGAGAAGACGAATCCGCAGGGTGGATTAGGAGGAAGAAGTGAATGTTTATGCATAAGAGTGACGTTTTACGTGTGAGGAGTCCTGCTTGATTTCGAGCACGAGCTTTCAAGGGCCCGAACTATACTGACCCGATTGAACCTGGGTCATTGGCGCTAGATCCGGATGAAATCCAGGCGCAGACCCAGCCCAGATCCAGGTGTACGCTGAAAGGGTGGATCCAGCCCAGATCCAGGTGTACACTGAAAGGGTGGATCTAGCCCAGATCCAGGTGTACGCTGAAAGGGTGGATCCAGCCCAGATCCAGGTGTACGCTGAAAGGGTGGATCCACCCCAGATCCAGGTGTACACTGAAAGGGTGGATCTAGCCCAGATCCAGGTGTACACTGAAAGGGTGGATCTGGCCCAGATCCAGGTGTACGCTGAAAGGGTGGACTAGATTTCTCAACCGACGAAGGAATGTTGTAAGCATATTCAAGCAAGAAAGTGTGGATTATAATGGCTTATGCAAAAGGCTAGCTCGACCCAGTATCCAGTCGCTAGTTACTGCTACGAAAGGAATCCACGAAGGCGGAAACTGGGGCGTGGTGTCGAAGAATGATGAGGATCAGGTAGTCTTGGGCTGAACATTGAAGAACTTGCTCACTAGACGCTGGATCTGGCGTCCTGGGTGTTGGCTCAGGTCCCCGCGAAACTGTTTTATACAAGGCTCGGCTTCGTCGATCTCTTGCAAGGCTTCCAATAGGCTCGCGGGTTCTGGGCGATGGAGGTTGGGATCCTCCAAGTTGGCTTGACGGGATACGGATCCCGGAAACCAAGCTACCTGATCACCG